CTGCTTAAAGACTGCTATTCAGTTACTTTTAAAAATCTTTTTCGATGTGTATTTTATGTACTTTGTATAAATATACAATCTACCTAATATTATATGCATACTATTTTACAACAATTACAAGTTTGTATACTATGAAGTGGTGCCCACATTTAAAATTGATGAATTAAAGTAATTACCAGAAGTCAAATTTATAGGCTCATCGAACAGCTAATCCCATTGGATTTGAACACCATGAAAATTAGAGTTAGCAAAGTTATAAGATTTGAAGAGCTAGATCTTTCTGGTTTTGAACACATAATGATATTTTAAAAAGACAAGTCCATGAAACAAGGCTATGGGAAACTCTTGGTTTGAGAGATCCATGCAATTGGTCTTTGTCAAGATAGGAGCACAAGCCTATCATCGAGGAGGCAGAGCGGACGCTGGGAACGCCGTGCTGGCTAGGGCTGCAGAGGAGCACCAGAAACGGACAAATGGAGCAAAGTGACTCTTACTTTAATAGCATTTCTTCTACTATGATTTAGTGAGTCTTTAAAACTTTTAGGTTGAAAGTACTAAGTGCGAGAGCCAACACGTTCAGGCGGCCCTGCTGTTCCTGCCCTGCTCCTCCCCCAACACAGAGTCCTTCGTGCAGCCATGGTAGTGTGAGAACTGTGCCGCCACGTCGCCACACCGCACCACCGTGACACAGCCACGCTCCATAGTGAACGTCACCAATGCATTTGTTTCAGGAGGAATTTCAGTTTTTCCCAACTTCGTAAACATTATCTTACTTTCTTGGATTGTTAGTTTCTTAGAAGATTTATTTAGTACACTTTTGGCAGAATAGTCTTTCAAAAGGTAAAAATTCCTTCTCTTCATCTTTCTTTAAGCCTTCCTGGAGATTTTCATTACTCTTACATGAAGCTCAAGCCCCACAGTGTGAAAAGCTTTAGGCTTTGTAATTTGGCTCCCCGTGTCTCTTTTTTTTTTTTTTTTTTTTTTTTTTTTTTTTTAAGGGAAGGGTCTACAGGGTGTTCAGGGTCTCACTACTAGATCAGACTCATAGTGATCCACTTGTTTACAGCCTCCCAAGAGCTGAGATTACAGGCATGTGCCACCACGTGCAGTCTCAATTGCTGTCTCAGTGTGTCGTGGGGATTGAACCCCTGGCCTCTGCGCCTGCTTGCAGGTGCTTTAATCCTCTGAGCTACTTGGCCAGCCCTTCCCCATGTCTTAAACTCTTAAATCTCCTCCATTTGCCTATAAGGACAAATCATACTGATTTTAGTGTGTGGAGTTGCATGCATCTCCTAGTCTTAGGGTCTTTGAGCTTGCAACCTTCCCCTCCCTGCATACACCCCACCCACAGCCCTTTCCTCCGAAACTGTCTTGGCTCTCTCTCTCTTCCTCATTATTTAGAATGTAATATAAATATAATTTCTTCTGGGAAACCCTCCAGTCTGGATTTGACGTAAGTAATCAATGACAATCATGTATTGCTTTTTGCCTTACCAAGGCCACCAAAACACTGGCAGCTGATCCATTTTTCAAAAGATAAGGAGGACATCTTTTTCACTGAAGCTGAGAAGACATGACTTTTTACTTTGAAATCACCATTTTGCTTTCCTGCTAAAATATGAAATAGGCTGACTGGAACTTTTTCAATCTTTGTGAATATGCTTGCAACTCATAATGACTCTTTCCTCACACATCTCGTGGCTTTCCATCCTTTCCTTCCCTCTCCCTCCCACCTCCTCCCATCTTGTGATCCCTTTCTCATTTCCAAAAGATCTGGCTCCTTTATCTAGCTTTTATCTTTCTCTTTATTTATATTATGGGTTTCTCATACAAGAGAAGCCATGCAGTATTTAAATTTGTGTATCCAATTTATTTCACTTAAAATTATGGCCCCAAAGTGTGTCTACTTTCTTACAGATGACTCACATTCATCCTAATTTGTGGCCCAATATTTTTCCAAGGTGCATGAATGTCACCTTCTTTACCCTTTCCTCTGTGGAGGAATGTATCAGCTACTTTATTGAGCTATTATGAACTGTGCTGTTAGGTGGGTATGAATCACTGTGATATAATGTCTTTAATTCTTTTGGGAGGATACCTAGAAGGGGGATACTTTGGTCAAACATAATCTCTAGTTTTAGTCTTTTGAGGCATCGCCATGTGGACTTCCATAATGGTATAAGTTTATATTCCCACCAACAATGTACAGGGGCTTCTCCACCCCACCCCCAGACTTGCTAGCATTTGCTATTTGTTGGCTATTTATATGTCTTCTGAGTGGTGTTTATTGTTTCAGTTGCCCAGTTTTTAATTGGGCCTCTACTTTGGGTAGTCTAATGTTTTTTTAGTTCTTTATGCATTTAATGTATTAGACCTATGTCCAAGGAATAGCTGGCAGTATTTTTCCCCATCATTTAGGCTAACTCTTCAGCCTATTGATTGTTTTGTGCACTAAGCTAAACTCACAATGATTAAAGATCTACAGGTTAAAATAGAAACACAATCTGCTGGAAGATAAAATAGATTAAAAACTCTTGAAGACAGATTTAGGCAAAGACTTTCTGAAGGGAATAAGGCATAAGAAATATCAACAATCAACCAGTGAACCCATATCAAATTAAAATTATGCATAAATGGAGAAAATTAAATAAAAATGAATGAAAATTACTGCTAAAGAAATAAGTTGCAGAAATCCCATTTTATTTCCCTTTGTATAATCAGTTGTAGTGATATTGGGCAAATAACAAACAAATGAAAAAAATTTCTGAGCTTCAGTTTTATAAATCCCTTATAAATTATAGAATCCTGAAAGTGAAACCCTAATTATAATAGATGCTGGTATGGACAAACAAGTATTTCTGTTTGTCTTAAAACTACAGTATCTTCTCCAGAGAAAACATGGATGAAACAACACACATTAATGATACAAAAGCAAGTCTTCTAAACAATAGGTTTTCCGGGGTTCTTGCCCTGCAATCCCAATTACATTTCCAGTTTCCACACTGACCTGCTGCTGTTCACGAGCCATTCTGTTCCTTTGCTCCATGAAAACTTTGGTTTCGGAGCAGCTTTTGGTTTGCACTCGATTATCACCCTGCCCCCTTTGGCAGCCAGGATCTTTTTCTTCATAGGATTCATTTCAAAAGTTGGGGCCAGAGCTAAAAGGAAATCCAATGATTGATGTTCTTTTAGTAAAAAAACCAAATATTTTCTCTGTATTTCTTTATTCCATGCCTATTTGTAGTTCATGGAAAAATTACCTACCTTGGTGTGCATGACCAGTTATGAAACATAGATATTTCATACCTAATAGGTTTCTTCATTAATGACTTAAGTATTATAAAATTCACTCAAATCAAATGAAAAATTTTGATGACTATAACTTTTAGTTAAAAGCAAGTGCTGGGGGCTGGTGAGATGGCTCAGTGGTCTGGAGCACCTACTTAGAACAAGCTTAGCAAAGCACAGGGAC